CAGATAGATAGATAGATAGATAGATAGATAGATAGATAGATAGACAGACAGACAGACAGACAGACAGTCAGAATGATGAACAGATAGACAGACAGATAGATAGATAGACAGACAGACAGACAGAATGATAACCAGATAGATAGATAGACAGACAGACAGACAGAATGATGAACAGATAGACAGATAGATAGATAGATAGATAGATAGATAGATAGATAGATAGATAGATAGATAGATAGATAGATAGATAGATAGACAGACAGACAGACAGAATGATGAACAGATAGACAGATAGATAGATAGATAGATAGATAGATAGATAGATAGATAGACAGACAGACAGACAGACAGACAGAATGATGAACAGATAGACAGATAGATAGATAGATAGATAGATAGATAGATAGACAGACAGACAGACAGACAGAATGATGAACAGATAGACAGATAGATAGATAGATAGATAAATAGATAGATAGATAGATAGATAGATAGATAGATAGATAGATAGATAGACAGACAGACAGACAGTCAGAATGATGAACAGATAGACAGACAGATAGATAGATAGATAGATAGATAGATAGATAGATAGATAGATAGATAGATAGATAGATAGATAGACAGAATGATAACCAGATAGATAGATAGATAGACAGACAGACAGACAGACAGACAGACAGAATGATGAACAGATAGACAGATAGATAGATAGATAGATAGATAGACAGACAGACAGAATGATGAACAGATAGACAGATAGATAGATAGATAGATAGACAGACAGACAGACAGACAGACAGACAGACAGAATGATGAACAGATAGACAGATAGATAGATAAATAGATAGATAGATAGATAGATAGATAGATAGATAGATAGATAGATAGATAGATAGATAGATAGATAGATAGATAGATAGATAGACAGACAGAATGATGAACAGATAGACAGACAGATAGATAGATAGACAGACAGACAGACAGACAGAATGATAACCAGATAGATATAGATAGATAGATAGATGGACAGACAGACAGACAGACAGACAGACAGATAGACAGACAGATAGATAGATAGACAGACAGACAGACAGACAGACAGACAGACAGACAGACAGACAGACAGAATGATAACCAGATAGATATAGATAGATAGATGGACAGACAGACAGACAGACAGACAGACAGACAGACAGACAGACAGACAGACAGACAGACAGACAGACAGACAGATAGATAGATAGATAGATAGATAGATAGATAGATAGATAGATAGATAGATAGATAGATAGATAGACAGACAGACAGACAGACAGACAGACAGACAGACAGACAGACAGACAGATAGATAGATAGATAGATAGATAGATAGATAGATAGATAGATAGATAGACAGATAGATTTACTCTGCTGGGGAGGATCGTCACGGTCGGCCGAATGCTTCCGGAGATTCTCTATTTCTTAACGGCGTATATCCACGTAATCCACGCAAGACTTTAAAACAGCAACGGATTACACGCATTACACACTTCATCCACGACCCGTCCTGCGGGGAAGACCTGCGTTACTCATCCTCACAGTGCTGAGTGTGCTGTCCATCACACGCTAATCTCACGCAGGAGCGTTGCTTTACAGAGTCTCGTAATGTTCCTGATGACGGAAGATATTAACACTGATATATTACACACACACGGGAATATACGGCAAAAATAGTGCCGTATATAATGCTTATAGTTTTCAATTTATGCATTGAGCATGTATGGCTATATATTAATAGAAATAAAATATTTATAAATCAAGGTAAAATATTATATTACAATATATATGTGTGTTTATGCTGCACATGCATATATATATATATATATATATATATATATGATATTTTTCAATATATTATTCTGTATATGATCATTGATCATTCATATATATGTAGGGAAATATATTGGTTTTCGTACGGGTCTCTAACACACACACACACTCTCTTCCATCTGTCATTGAAATGAATGTGCATATTGTTAACGTATGTCTATATTAAGCTCGCGTGAGCCTTTGTGAAAGGTGCGCTGAATGATTAATGATCCCTGTGGTGTAATGTAGGTTAAGTCTCAGGAGATTAGACTAATTAATATTCATAGGGGAATACTTGATTAAAGCTTGTTCATTATTAACGTTCTACACATTAAGAAATTAATAAAAAGGTTTAAAATGACGAATGCTTTATTTTACACTCCGGAGTAACATCCGGACGTGTAGCGTTCGAGTCTCCTCGATGTTGATTGGGCGAGTGTGTCTGATCCATCCATCACTGATGACATCAGCACACACAGATCAATAGCGCGTCGTCTCGTCCCGCTCAGTGTCAGATACACACGGCCGTTTATCGGGACTGAAGGTCCAGTGTTCACTCACAAACACAGACTGATGGATGTGACACTTCAGAAACCTTTACACACACACACACTCAGTGTTAAAAACACAATAAAGTCAGATGATTTATTTATTTATTTTTATTCGATTGAATTTTTTTTTGTCTCGTATCTTTTTATTTTTATTATGTTTCATTTGACTTGTAATTTTTGTTTAATTTAATTTTATTAATTTGTCTTGTGAAAAAATTATTTTTTATTTATTTCTTTTTATTTTTTTGTCTTTTATTTATTTATTTGTTTATTATGTTTATTTATTATGTTTTATTTGTCTTGGATGATTTATTTTATATTTTATTTGTTTTGTTTTATTAGTCTTATATTATTCTATTTTATTTATTTGTCTTGGATCATTTTTATTTATTATGTTTTATTTGTCTTGTATTTAATTTAATTTGTCTTGGAAAATATTTAATTTAATTTTCTATTTAATTGCGATTATTTATTCGTCTTGCATATTTTAAATTTTTTTTTAGTCTTTTCTTTTTCTTTTATTGTCAGACAGCAGAAATAGAAATGTGTCGTCTGTCTACTAAAGGTGCGGCTTTATTCGTTTGGAGCTTGATTGAAGAAACTAAGAAACTGTGAAGCCAGAGGAAAATAAATGCACAGATAATTCCCACGCTGCTTTGAAATGATATTCAGACAGATGTTTCCCATGGTGCACCTGTACAAGATTATACCCTGAGGTTTGATTTGAGGCAGTGAACTACTGTATGAAGAGCACAGGTATTAGTTAACATTAGCTAACGCACAACTAACATGAACAAACAGCTGCATTTTTATTAACTAACATCAACAAAGATGAATAAATACTGTAACATATGTATTGCTCATTGTTAGCTCATAAGTGTTCCTCTTGAGATTTTGTTAGCAGATCTGAGCACAGCTTGAGACATTCTTGAGTTAAAGTTAGCGAGTGTTTTTAGGAAAAGCTTCCATGCTCTCCGTTTGTCCTGTGTTTATTCTCATCTCCGTCGAACTGTGATATTGAAAAGGACTTGTTTGGAGATCAAAGGCTCATGATGTCACAATGAAGTCATCACCTACTGATTTGTGTTCCATCAGTCTATGGCATGTTCAGAGGCGCTAGTGTTCCGCCGTATCCATGGAAACAGACATTCGCGCGCCGTTAGCAACCATTGTTCGCCGCGGTAATGGGCTGGAATTCTCGCTAAAGTGAATCAGCGGCTGAAATTAACTTTAGCACCAGAGCAGACGGTCAAACACACTGTAGTTACAGCAACCTTCACGATTAGCAGCATTTAAATAAATAATAACACAAATATGTTGGAGATGATTGGAAATGACAGTATGCAATCAGGCACACACAAAAAAAGACAGAGTGACAGAACGAGAGACATGGCTCATGGGTTTTTCCCACCTTGTGTGCTGCCAAGAAACCAGTGTTGTTCACCAGCCTGAGCTCTTGAGGAGTTTCAGCTCTATATGGGCTATCAGCTCTATTCAATTCAATTCAAAAACTGCTTTATTGGCATGAGTGTACATCATGCAATATTGCCAAAGCTTGGATACATTAGAAAGACATCAAAATATGTCTATACTGTATATTAAGTCAAATTATTAGAGGTAAAATAAATTGATTATTACATTTGAAGTAGAATATATTGTATGTAAAAAAATTATTAGTTTAGAGTTGTTAATAAAATTACTAAAACAGAGGTAAAATAAATTGATTTTACGTTTAATGTAGAATTATTAAAACATTTTATGTAAAAAAATATTAGTAAAATTATTATTAATTCATTTAGAGTTGTTAATAAAATTACTAAAACATTATTAGAGGTAAAATATATTGATTATTAACTGAATAAAATGTAATTAATTATTAATTAAAATGGAATTTAATTATTATTAATGAAACATTTTTAGAAGTAAAATAAATAATTTTAATAATTAAAACATATGTAAAATAAATGTATTCATTTTGATTTAAAATTATTATTGTAGAATTATTATTAAAACATAGACTATGTATAGCAGTTTATTCATTAATTAGAATTATTAATTAGAATAATTATTAAAAAATATTATTATAAGTAAAAATAAATTGATTATATATTTTTTTTAGATCATTTTTTAGAGGTTCATCACTAAGAAAGCATATTGATAATTATGGTTATGGATTTATAACGTGACTTGGATCAGGCAGCAGTACTTAAGTACTGCAGTACTTTAATTCGAAAAAAGTATTTTATCCAGACTTGGGTGTTAAACGAAATACGTTCGGTTGCAATTTTTGGTGGAAAATTCTTTAAGCATGCATGAAATGCTGTCTCAAACTTTATGAGAAAATGGGGTATCTTATAATAATTAATCTGGTGCACACCGACAAGGGCAAGGAGTGCTGTCTAGGTAGGGATCTCACTACACTCTAAAAACTGCAGGGTTAAAAAAATGCTGCACTGGGTTGGGTTGATTTGATGTTTTTTGTTTTCTGTTTTACAGAATAAATATATGCTACCCCTGACACTGTATGTTGAACAGTGAAATTAGCTTGCTGTTACCACAACTTGTTAAAAATATAGGTAAACATTCATATTAACTTACCGTAAAACACCGTCCGATCCGAGTGGCGTCATCCTCGTGTCAGAAGTGAAGGATCCAGAAAGTTCTGCAAAGAATGAAAAAGTAATAAACCAGTTGCTGGGTCAAAATAACCCAACCAGCTGTTTATTTGTGAATGACTCCCGTACAACTCATTTGACCCAGCATGAGCATCCCAAGAATGTGTTTACAGTACCCCAAACAACCCAACATTTTGACCCAGCACAATCAACCCAACAATTTGTTTCCAAAAACAACCCAGCATCGCACTCAAAAGATTTTGGGTCAAATATGGACAAACCCAGCCATTGGGTTACATTTGTTTTATTACATTTTTAACCCAACCTTTGCGTCTGTCCATATTTGACTCAAAATTGGGTTAAAACAGCCCAGCATTTTTCTAGCGTAGGCTTCACAGAACAGAGCTCTCGTTTCTCCCAGGTTGATGTCTGATGAAAGGTTGTATTGCAGGTATTATTAGCATCAGATGGAGGCCATCTGGAAGTGTTTTAAAGCCATTTACAGCAGCGACAGCTAATGAATTCAACACGACTTCCGTCACTTTCTCTCTCTGGAGGGGAAATCACACATTTGTTCAGATTTTGTAGTTTGGAATTTGATTTCCTGTGTAGAGAAAGATGGAGTTGTGTTGGTTACTGTTGCTAAGCAGCGTCGGAACGTTCATAGAACACTGATGTGCGTCGTTGAGAGCGTGAAGTGTCCAACATTCCAGCCTTCGTGCTTTCATCATGCGGGGATTTGACCTTTTCACACGTAAGTTTAAAATATTCTGTCTGACCCCCAAGCTTGAGTTTTTAAAAATGGTTTCCATGGCGATGCGTCATTGTTTGTCACGTTCGACACCGCCGCCGCCACAACAGTGCTGGGGTGTGTTTCCTGTACAGCGCTGTAACTCGTGCTTCACTACTGTAGTATGATACATCGTTGAAGAAATCAACTATAGTCACGACTGTTTCCGAAACCATACTGTCGCAAAGCGTTCGTTCAACCATGTTGGTTTATGATGTCACGCACTTATTTTAACGAAACTGTTTGAGATCGAATTAATGCTAGATGTTTTGATATAAATTACTGTCTGGAATATTTCTCATTTTTCTCAGTTATTTCGCTTTATTTCCAGATTCAATCATAGACATGTGCACTCTTCAAAAGTGATTTTACCAAAATATTCCTTTTTTATTCAAAATATTCACAAATTTGTGAGCTATAGCATGAAATACCTGATATTCCGGTTGTCAAATATGTGCAAGTGGATTGCTTAAACACCGTTATAGCGGTTGCATTAGTTATTAGTTTGTGCCAAATGTTCAGATGGTGAATCGAATCTGTCGGATTGAACACGTGAATTAATCCACTTCCCCCGAAACACATGACAGTAAGAGGCCGGCGAACGGAGAGAAGAATAGAGTAAACTTTGTGCATCTGATATGAATAAAACGTGACGTCTAATTATAATAAAAAGCTTTACAGGTGAAAAATGAGAATATCATTTGCACCAAAAGTTCTTTTATTTCAGTAATTCAACTTAAAAGGTGAAACTAATGTATTATATTGACTCATTACATTCAAAGTGAGATATTACAAGCCTTTATTTGTTATAATGATGGCTTACAGATTGATTTGATTTGGTTTTCATAAGCTGTAAGCCATAATCATCAACATTATAACAAATAAAGGCTTGAAATATCTCGCTTTGAATGCAATGAGTCTATATAATATATTAGTTTCACCTGAATGACTGAACTTTTGCACGATATTCACATTTTACACCCTAAATGTATAGTTTTTTGGCACTTAATATAAACTTAACTTAGTCTGAAACCTAAAATAAACCTCATGTGGTTGAGTAGTTGTGATATATGACTCACCCCATCCTATAAGATGTTGTTTGGTGTTTTCTGTGGTGATTACGATGAACAGACGAGGCCTTTACCGGCACGTTTGATGTGAGACGGGCTCCTTCTTCTGAATTACACATGAGGAACAAGCAGAGAGGAGATGATGGCTGGAGGTTGCCGTTAGCCATGCTTTACCCTGTAACTGCGTGAGCAAAATAGAGAAGCATATATTAAAAAAACATCCATAATTCCAGCCGCGGGGTGTTTTATTGCAGTTTAATGTGCATTCGGAGGCCTTTCACACCAGTAATGCAGCGTTCAGGGTGTATGATTATTAAGAAACCTGCGAGACTGAACGAAAGCTGTTGCTTCAATTTCCATCTCCAGTTTGCTTTATGTATACAGCACTTTTCTTTTTACAATACACATCGTTTAGAAGAGATAACAGGAAAATAATGCAAACAAAGTTTGCTTCCAGAAGAAAATAGCGTCATATTCAAGTTCAGTGAGTAATTTAGAAACCGTGATGTCATCATCCAGCTCAGTTCAGGTCAATGGTGTCAATGCAGGCGAATCAATAATATTGTTGAATATTAAAGGAGTAATTCACTTTAAAAAAAAAAAAAATTGCTGATAATTTACTCACCCCCATGTCATCCAAGATGTCCACGTCTTTCTTTCTTCAGTCGAAAAGAAATTAAGGTTTTTGATGAAAACATCTATATAATGGACTTCAATGGGGTCCAAACGGTTCAAGGTCCAAATGAGAGTTTCAGTGCAAACTGCAAATTGTTCAAAGGGCTTTAAACGATTCCAGACGATGAATAAGGGTCTTATCAAGTGAAACGATCGCTCATTTAAAAAATAAATAACAAAGTTTAAGTTTTATAAGCTCAAATGCTCGCCTTGCTCTGTTCTGTGATGCGCGTTCGTGACTCTCCTGTTCGAACTCGTTCATCAAAATGAACAAATCTTTATTTGAGTCATGACTCGAAGGGTCCTTGATAAGACCTTTATTCATCGTCTGAAGTCGTTTAAAGCCCTTTGAAAAGTTTGCACTGAAACTCTCATTTGGACCTTGAACCGTTTGGACCCCATTGAAGTCCATTATATGGAGAAAATCCTGGAATGTTTTCATCAAAAACCTCATTTCTTTTCGACTGAAGAAAGAAAGACATGGACATCTTGGATGACATGGGGGTGAGGAAATTATCAGCAAAAGTTTTTTTTAAAGTGAACTACTCCTTTAAATGCAATGTCCCCAAACTGAGCAATCTCCAGGCACATTAATGTCAACATAAAATCAATATTAATCCTATTTATCTATTTCAACGTTGCATAAAATGCTAAAAGAAACAAAATGAAACTTGATAGTAATTTAGATGACTTTCTTATATTGATGCCACCCAGCAATTACACAGAAACCCACATGTGCTGGAGAATATAACGCCGCTACATTAAAAAGTGTTTTATGTGGGATTGCAGCTTGATATATTTTAATTATTTTCCCAAGCTTCAGTACTCCAGAGTCCTGCTACACACACATCTATTACCAATGGCAAGATATATTCTTTTGAGTTGTTTTTGGCATGCTTATTAACTTGACAACACCGAACGCGATCAATAAGCGCTGGATATTCTATGGACAGCTGACAGAAAACACTCAATAGCACAATCAAGAGGCCTGGACACGTGGAAAGAGACGCTCGGATCATTGGCGGATAATTACATTATCAACTGGGGTGGCTGGGAAAGTTTTAATTAGTTGTGCATTGAAGTGCATGGACAATATCAATCAATATTTCGACTTGTGTTGAGGAGAGAGGCCAGTTCAGGCGACAGACCGTGTGGATTTACCGTGCTATGAAGATATAGTCTTTGCTCAGTTGATTATCCAATGAGATTAAATGGAGAATTTGCTCTTAGATTTAGTATTTTTATTGTAGTCTTGTTTCTCACGATAATAGAATTTCTAACTTCGATACGATACCTTAAAAATATCAGAATTCAATACATTTTTCGATACCGCGAGGAAAAATCATCGCTAGTTTTTTGTATTATCTCAAGTCCCAATGTTTGATCCCAATTCATTAAAATCTGAAGCATACTTTCAAACATTCCTCTTCAAATTCTTTCAAATACACATAATCTGAGTTTCTCCACATTCATTGTAAAGCTCTAATATTTATAGTATGACAACTACTGACTCATTGTGGTGTTTTTATTTCTTTAAAGGAATTTGAGGAGAAATATAATATAATATAAGCTTTAAAAGAGCAACACTGTAAAAAATATTGTTGGTTTAACTTAAAAAAGTAAGTAAACTGGTTGCCTTAAAATTTTAAGTTGATTGAACTGGAAAAAGTGAGTTAATGCAACTCAAAATAATACGTTATCTGAATTAATAAATTATTTAAGTTGGTTTGACAAAAGAAAAAATGTTGTGATAACAAATCTTGAAAATATTTTTTTTACAGTGAATAACGTCTAACGTGTGTTTTCAGGTTAAAGTGTGTGTTTGGAGAATACTAGAATTTCCGATATATTGAATAAGATAAGATACTGATATATTGAATATTAAAAAAATATCGATATTCGATACAATTTTATATAGATATAAAATTGTTTACACTGTAAAAAAATACTGATGGTTTAACTTAAAAAAGTAAGTAACCTGGTTGCCTTAAAATTTTAAGTTCATTGAACTGGAAAAAGTGAGTTAATACAATGAAGGAGATTAATTTCATCATCAGAAACTCAAAATAATAAGTTATCTCAACTAAATAAATTATTATAAAGTTGATTTGACAAAAGAAAATATGTTGTGATAACAAATCTTGAAAATATTTTTTACAGTGATAGAATTTCGATATTTTTGGAATATATATACAATTTTTGATACCACAAGGAAAATTTTATTAATTTTTTATAATCCAAATATTCCTTATATCACGTGGTTACACACTAACATATCCGGGACAGTAAAACAAACAAATACAAACAACCAAAGACAACAACAAAAGAAGACATCTGAGCATCTAATGCACCAACACAACAGAGATTTCCCATCTAATTATTAAATGACTCCCACATGCTCCTTAATAAAACAAATCCTTTCCAAATGCAAAATCTTTTCCCAACATAATCCATATATTTTTAGTATTATCTCTAGTCTCAATGTTCAATCTCAATTCATCAAAACACGATCTCAAACATGTCTCATCCAAAAGCAAATAATAATAATTATAAATCGTATACTTCAACTACTGACTCATTATTGTGTTTTTATGTCTTTGAGTAGAAATATAATTCCCGGCTGAGAACTTCATTAAGCTTTAAAAGAGCAATAACGTCTAACGTGTGTTTTCAGGTTAAAGTGTGTGTTTGGAGACCGCCTCCGCTGTTGAGGTTTGTTTGTACAGTAGATGTAGTTATCAGGCTTAATTACTGTCATTTACAGCTTGTTAGTGTGAACGCTTATTTTAGAAGTACACACACACACACACAGCCTTCAGTGTTTAAACACCAAACAATTGCACGTCGCAGGCTAAAGAGCATGTATTTGTCGTTCTCGTATTTAGATTATTTTTCGGTCTGTGTCCCGTCTTCCGAACACGTGTAATCTCGCATGTCGTGTGTGTGTTTGTTCAGGATTCCGGCTGTTTGCCGTCTGATGCTGAACTGACCGAGTCTCATTTCGTAGAGAAACACAAAGAGAGAGAGAGTATTAACAGAGGCGCAGTCTCTCTCTCTCTCTCTCTCTCTCTCTTGTATGGGTATTTCTAACAGATGGAGTTTCTCCGGACGGCTCTCCCTCAGAGAATCATGGGAGTATTTTAGTCCAGTGTAATCCTGACCATCTGCTGTCTTCCTCTCTGCCTCCAACTGCCCCTTCAAGCATCCCACTATTGCCCTCCATCCATCCATCCATCCAGTGCCAATTTGACAGCCCATCCATCCATATCCCCTAACCTTCCTTTACCTGAAAACAGTTTCATATCTTTATAGGGTTCTTGACTCTTCATTCCAAAAATGCTTTTTTTTTACTCAACTGTAGTCAATAATTGTATCCCTTAAAACTCATCTTTGATCACCAAAATATCATATTTAAAACGTTTTTAAATATCTTGAATGCAACTCTTGCCTCATTTAGTATGCGCAGTTCTATGAATATGCAAATGAGCCCCGCCTCGACTCACTCCCTCAGCTCAGAGATCCACTGGTTGGCGATCACACGTTGATCTGATTGGTCACGAGGTGGTTTGTGACGTCAGAAACACCAGCGATTTCAAAGCGTGTTTTTGAGTTTTACGGAGGAAATACCCAGCAATGCTGTCCATTTATGAAATTACACATCTTAAAGCGTATTAAAAACAACATATATATGACTATATAGAACTCTTTATGCCAAAAAGGTTAAATATAAGGAGAAATGCCTTAAATTATCGCATAATATTTCCATGTTTTTTTTTTTCTAGTGATAAAGTATGGCTTTGAGCTGTTTAATTCATAACATTTCATTAAAATAAAAACTAATTAAGCCAAAATTAATTCAAACTAAATCCTTATCCGGTGTAAGGTTCTATATATGAAGAATCCTTTAAGGTTCTATTTAGAACATTTTCTTCTAAGCGTGTTCAATATAGAACCTTTTCTTCATTCTGTGTCATATTTTGCGATTTTGAATTTGACTCCTTAATTATTGTTGTAACATGCGTTAAAGACATGCGTGATGTCATCGAGATGGCGGGAAACTTCACTCTGAAACCAGCAGCGCATATGTTTATTTGCGACCCGTCAAAATAAAAGCTTGATGGTATACTGTATACTGTTGCAATTATACACTTAAATAAATGCAATTTATTTTACAGTATTACAGTATTATTATTATTGCAATGCATATTTGATTTTGTTTAATATATTTAATAATAATCACAATAAAATTATTATTATCCTATATATTATTTTATAGATGGACCCCTGAATTTCAACCTCTTTTTAATGCAAAATAATTTAAAAAAATGACTGAATGAAGCATGTAAGATTTTTGTATTAGTACTAATAAACTGAATGTTTTAAAAACACAATATCAATAAATCCAATTTGTTTGGATCTCATACATTTGAACTAATTGAATATTGTCTGTTCTACAGCTAGCCGTTAATTACAGAATA